ATCCTTACCAAGTATTGACATCTACCTTATATGCATTTATTAAGTACCTAACATGATTACATCTTATCTATTTGAAGATTACTAAAAATTAGAATCAATTAAATTAGAATCCTAGACATTCAATCATAATCTTAAACACAAAACAATATATAATGATCAAAACAGCTAAACTTCCAAGTGTTTAAGAGGGATAAACCAAGCTTCTATTCTACCACTTATATTAGACAATCCAAATATTTAGCTAAAAATGTCCAATATTAGTATCAAGCTAGATTTTTTTGATCTTAGTATAAAAAAAGCTCATCATTTTTTTTTATTCATCATTGGTGCACAATTTTTTTTAGGGCGTGTATCTTAATAAGGTAGCAAATACCATCTCTCAAGAAAAGTATACTAATCTTCTAAATATATTTTATAATTGATGATTACCCAAAACTTGGTTTAAAAAAGTTATAAATTAAACTTAGAATGTCAACTAGATTGATTTCACCCAATAAAAACTATCAACAATTTGAAGAAGTTCAAAATGATGCAAATGCACTATGCTAATTTCACTTTATAATTTGTCAACTAGAAAAGTGATATTTTAACCGCTCTTTAAGAAAGACTTGGAGAGGGATTGAAATTTAACTGTTTTCTAAAGTCACTTTTAGAAAGTGTGTCAATATCTTACAAATTAAAAATTTAAAATATCTAGCAATTTTTATCTTATAAATGAAGCAATTTTCAACTCATACAGTTATGAATATTTTTGTCTTCTTCGTGTTCTCTATGTTAATAAAGTTGATTTTTTTTCACACCTATATGTTCTTTTCATCTTTGTTGTCTCTCTATATTAATAAATTTGGTCTCTTTCACATCTATACTTACATTTCTTATAGTTTTCTCTTCAGTTTCTCTTTCTTTCTTTTTCTCTCTCTACTAACAATGAAATATCCTATTAATTTGTTCTTATTTTTTGTTTTGCTTACTAGTGTTTTATTCATATAAATGTAAACTATTTGGTTAACACAACATATAAACTCGAGTTTCAATGAGACAAAGAATCAATTTTGATTTGTAATAAAAATAAAAAAATTTTGAATGTCAGACATACAAATTTAAATTTAAACAGAATAATAAATTATTTTTTATTTGTAATAGAAACTCATAAAGAAAGAAATTTAAAATTTAAAATTTGTAGTTCTACTTTAAATAATAGTGCATATTAGAGTGATTTGAACTATTTTTTAAACAATGCAGAACTGTTCTTTAATATTTTTGTTGTTGTAGTAAACACAAAGCACCTTTAATGTCAAACCACATGTCAACATTTTGTCAAACTATAATTAAATGTAACAAAAATACAAGAAAAAGAAAAAGATTTGCATACCATTAAAGAAACTCACACCAAGAGAAGATGAATGTACCTTGTCACACAAAGAGGAAAGCATGTTTTAGAGCCTTGAATAAGAGAAAACAATAAACCAACAGTTGTGTGAGAATAATAACTTTATTTTCATAAAACATATAAAAATTAGAAGAGAGAAACAATTTTCTACATTTATTCCAAAAATTGATGTTAAAAAAATTGTATTTCACTTGTGGTACACAAATAATTGGAAAATATATTCTATAAATTAAAAAAATTATCACTATTTCTTTTTCTTCATCGCTTATAAAATTAATATAATAAATATTTTTTATATCGATCGCAAGAGAATTAATATAATAAAATTTACAAATTTTGCATAAATTTAAGAAATATTATATTTTTTAATATTAATTTTTTTATAATTGATGTAAAATTTGCTGTAGAATTTTATTTTTTAACCCATGAATATTAAAGATGAGAACTAATACTAACATGAGTGATGAGGTAGCATAATACTAATACAGTGATAATGTTAGTGAATGAGAGTAGGTTAGCATGGTCGCTAATTATTGAAGAAGGTTGGAGAAGAAAAAATTGGGTATTTATTACATCAGAGACTAATTTTTGTTATAATTTGAAGTGATGAAGTGATATAACACCCATTTATCATAAAATGCTTTATTCATTTCTCGAACTTAGATAAGAATAGATTTAACTTGTAAGTCAACAATGTTCGATATAAATGTAATTAAATTATCAAATTAATTCTTAATATTTTACACATCCATCAAATTAATCCTTAAAGTATCAATTATTACATTAAATGAACTCTCAAAAATATTATTAACGAATCACGTAACCACTCAGTTAGTAGATAATGTCATATATATAAAATATTTTTGTCAACGGTGACAAAGAAATTATAACAGCAAGGAATAATTTAAAGAACAACATAATATGTTTAGTCTAAATATATTATTTCTTTAATTTAAGATTTAATTAATAACTATGTAAAATCTTAAGACAAAATTAATAATAATTTACTCAAAAAATTTTATGATCACGTGTTTAAAGTCATTAATGACATTTTTTTTTCTTTAAACAACTAATTAAGTTAAAATAGTCGTGTCAATTAATTTTATGTGTTATAAATAAGGAAAGTATTATAAAAAATAGAAAAGTATTAAAAAAATAAAATCGTGATTAAAATAAAATATAAAGTAAAACTATATATTTGTAACACGTGCTATTCAACATACTTTGTTTTTATCTATTTTTAAATAAAATTAAATTGTAACTATGTTTTGTAAATATTTTTTAAATCATTAAAAATAAAAAATATATTTTAATTAATTTGAATATTATATCTACAGTTATACATAAATTTTAAAAGTTGAGGATTAATGGCGTAACTTTGAAAAACAACGGAACTTGTTTCTTTTCCGTATGTATATTGGCTGCTACAGTGGACAAAATTGCATGACCGCTGTTGTGGCTGCTGTGATGAAGACAAATAAATACCGGAAAAGCTTATAAATGAGAAATGGATAATCTGTATTTCACAATTATTTAAATAATATCAAGAGAGAAGAAAAACAATTAAAAAATAAACGTGAATATATATTTTTTAACATCCTTAAGAAATTTAAAAGCTTTATCTTTTCTTATTTTGGAAAAAGAAAACAGAAAGCTCTATATCAAAATAAATTATTAAGCGATTGTTCTGAAGTTTCACTTAATTCATCATTTTTATTGTAATTTCTGCCCCTCTTATTTAATTTTCATGATCAATTTATCATTCTTCAGAGCAAACTAGTGTGTGAAAAAAAAAATCAAATATTTTAATATCAGTAAAATAAATAATTGTTAGAATATAATGATTTTAATATAAATAAATGAACGTGTTGTCACACCAATCCCCATAACGAGTAATTTGACAATTTTTTAATTTAAAGCAAGGAAGGTTAGTAGCAGCGTTAAGGAACTTTCTTATTTATGACGTGAACATTAAAAAAAAAAAAAAAACGCGCGCACACATACATATTACACTTAAACATATTTTAATTTTTTATAAAATTTTAATTTTAGTCTTTCTAAATTTTTTTATTTTAGTTTTTTTATTTTAATTAATTTTTTTATTTTAGTTTGTTTTTAATTCAGTACTTTTAATTCCTTCGAATAACGTAGTATAACAAAAATATTAATGCATAATACAGACATTCTTAATCATATCATTATTAGGGGCGAAAGTGTTACAAAAATAATAAAACTAAAAATATATTTAAATATTTTATTTTACCTTGCAGCTCTAAATTCAGAAAATATTTAAACGCTGTTTTTATTTATAATTTTTTTTATGATTAAATCGTGAGTTTCACGTTAAAATTTTATCTGTGTTAAAAAAGTTACACTATTAACTAAGTAGAATATTGATATATAAGTCTTTTGAATTAATTATTATAAAAATATTTTTTTTACAAATTTAATAATATATAATTAGATGATAGTGTAACTTTGTTTTACTGCCATGCATTTCAGTTGGTACTTTTAAATTTAATTTAAAGTTAAATTTTCATAATTATTTTAAATTTTAAAAATCACATCACAATACTATTATTATCATAATATTTTATTAATTAAGTTAATTTTCAAAACTGAAAATTTGAAAAGTTTATACTTTTATATTTTAAATTATTTCTGTCATTTCAAAATAATAGTTATTTTTTAAATTCTAATTTTTAAAAATATTTTCACGTTATAATTTTAATGAATAATTATTTTTTAATTTTACTCTTAAATAAATTTTATTAGGAGATAAATAAAAAAAATTATACAAAGGATGTAATAAGAAACTACATAATATTTTTTTATAAAAATAAAATTATTAAATATATTTCTTAATTTATGTGATAGCCTTAAACGATTATTATATTGAATTGAAGAGAGTATTAATAAAAATATTAATTAAATCAATTTTCTCTTATACATATATATTACATTTAATGTACATTTAAAGTTTTCATTAATGAATGTTCTTAAAATATTTAATATATTTTATTAAATACATTTTACTTAAAAGTGCGTGTACTATATAATTTTATTTTAATATAATAATTTATTTCTATTTTCTTTGACAAATAGATATTTTTAAATGATGATTAGTATTTATCATAATTACAAATATTTACAAAATGAATAAAATACTTATACTTATTAGGTAAGTAATAAAATTCTAGAACTTTTATGGTCCAATATTTCAATTTATAATTTTATTACTTAATTCATAATATTAAATACAATTTGTGTTACCATTTTGAATAAAATAGTAAAAAAAGATTGCTTTTCAAGTCAAAGCGTCTGAATAGTAAATACACACAAAGGGTTAACAATTGAAATATCTTTAATTTTATTTTTGTAAATTATTTCTACCATTTTGAATTCACGCGGTTAGTCGAACACAGACACAGTTAATTAAGGAAACTCAAAAGGGTCGAAAGTTAAAGGCTGAAAACACTTTAATTATACGTATTTTTATTTTTTATTCATATTTTCATATTATATATATAAAAATAAAAGATGATGACGTGGATCCATGTCGACCGTCCCTTTTCCCTATTTTATGAGATGCCATTTCCTTCTTGTCCTTCTCTTTCTCTCTCTTCCATTGTCTCTGTGTGTGTGTTCTTAAGTTTCTCTCTCTCTCTCTTCCATTCATTCATCAGCACCCCTTTAAATAGGCTCTCTATTCAAAACAATATCTTCCAACAGAAAAAGATTATCTTGTTGAGGATATCTATTACCGTGTTGCTCGCTCTTCTCTCTTTCTCGCAACAAAATCTTCTTTTTTTCTGATTTTTTTTTCATAACCCAGAAATCTAGGGACAACGAGCCGCAAAATTAATCCACACCCAGATTTTCTCTCTCTCAAATATCCAGTGGAGTTTATCTGATTTTTTTGGTTCTCCCTAAATTCTTCACCTTCTTAGTAGAAGAGACATAAAAAGCTGATTTGTTTTTATATATATTTACATAATATTAATATACAAAGGTGTGCTTTTTGGGTGTCTTGGAGGATCTGTATTTGGTGTATCCAGTGGATTGTGTTGAAGGGTTTTGAGAATTTTTTGTTGGGAGTACATGGCTGCTCAATTGCAAAAATGTATTGCCTCATCTTTTCTACTATATTCTTTTGTTGTATTAATATTATTCATGGTTTTGATTTGTTTTTTCCCCTTTCTTTTGATTACCCTTAATAAAGTAGGATGAAAAGATTGAGAAAAAAAGGATAAATTTTTACTTGGTTGATTTTTCTGCTTTTAACAGCTGCGGATGAAATGAGTAGGAAGAAGCTTCAAGGTGATTCTTCGACGGTTGAACTCAATAATTCCAACATGGTAATTAGTAATAATTCCCAATTTTTTTAGCACCATCTCTCTCTGTTGCATGTGATTTATAAAGTATCATGACTTCAGCTTTGAATTTCAGATTTCTTTTTTTTTTTCCTCTCTGCTTCGATTTGAAATGAACTGTTTCATTGCTTGTGTATGAGAGACAGAGAATTTCATGGTTTCTTAGTGTGCATCTGGATGTGTATGTTCAGGTTCCTTCTAAGGGTGCAAGTTCTCCATCTGATGCAAGATCATGTGTGTCATCCATAGGAGATGCTTCTGGTAGTGTTAAGGAAGTGGATGTGGATCATGAGTATTTTACCACAGATCAAGGTGTTCCTTATACTGCTGGTGGCTATTATGGTTACTACTATCCAGGTTAGTTGCTGCAGGTCAAAGATCCTCCCTCCCTCCACTGGTTCCCTGTTCATTCATTTCAATTGATTGTATATTTATGTTTTCATTTCTTACGGTAGAATGATCACAGGTTATGGTGGTTTCTATGGAGAGTCAGACAATCACGGGTACTATGTTGGTGCTGATGTTGTGGATCTTCAGTATCCTGTAAGTCTCTTAAGCTTAATTGTTACTGTTTTTGTTGTTGAGTCTTTCTATGTGGACTGTGGTTGACTTGTTACAAATCTGGTCAATTCAGGTTATGCATATTTATACATACTTGAATTTGATAATTTGGTTTTCATTTATCAGCATTTATGGGTTCTCTTGTTTTTGAGAAATAAGCATGGCCCTCTGAGAATTGTATTCTTTAAGAAAGGGTGGAATGCAAAACAACAATAATAATGCACTTATTGACAACTTTTTGATTTTTTGGGTGCATTTGGGATTCAAACTTGAACCAGTGACATGTTAGGCTTTGATTTGTTTTCTTCTTGAATGTAACCACTAGTTTAACAGTTTCTTTTTATGCATATAATTAAAATGGAAATGATTAATATTTTAAACTAATACATACAATACATCATGTTCTGAACCAGTCTTTTTGAATTCAGGGCATATGTAGACAGTAAATGTGATATCCTGACATAATTGGAATTTACTATGTACCCTTTCTGCATTCTTAGTTTTAAGTCAAGCAAGCAGATAATTGATCTTTTTAGTGTTCATTGACATATAATGAATTTCTCAATATATGTTTTTGGTCTTTTTGTTGCTTCATTTAGGTCATGCAAGCAGATAATGGATCTTATGTCTATCTCATGCCAGGATATCAGACTGGCTACTCTTCATACTTTCCAGCAAGTACAGCTGCAGTTGATGGGCAGTATGTTGGCCATAATGTCTATCCCCCTGCCCCCATCTTTCAACAACCCATTGGATCACCTGGTTATTTTCCAGCTTCTCTACCATATGGAGAGTTACTTCCATCAATGTACTCGTGGGATTCACCTATAACCACGCAAGATGGGCTACAAGGAAATGGTTATAATGAATTGGCAAGTAAACCAAGTGGTAGATCTAATTTTTCTTCCCAGAGTCATTCTAGTGGGATTGTGTCAAAGTGTGCACCCCCACCTAACTTGAGCAACCAGGCAGAAGTGAAGGGTTCAATGCCATTATTAGAGGTCTCATCAACTCATGTTAAGCGTAACCAGCCAAAACAAGCAAACAAGGTAACCTTAGTTCTGCATTCTTTGTCCTTGTGGTGTATCTATCATCCTTAGGTTGGAAGTTAGACTATTCTAATGAGCTTGTGATGTTTTTCAGGCACCTGTTTGTGGCTCCGTCCTTCATTCAGATGTAGTCGCAAAGAGTTGCTTGCCTATTTCCAAGTTTCCCTCATACAGTCAAGGAAAGAGCGGATTCCTCTATCCTAACAACTTGCTTAATGTCAAAGCAAGCACAAAGAACTGGGTTAGTACTGAAAAGTTGAAACTGAGAAACAAGGTTAATGATTCACTTAATGAGCAGAATCAAGGTCCTAGGACAGCTAATGCGAAAGGGGCACTAATGTCTGGCGGTAATTCTGTGAGATCCTTGGTTGGAGGTGGGAGTGGAAATGTTAACAGCAAAATTAGGACCGATCAATATAACCTTCCTGATTTTCCAACCAAATATGATCATGCACTTTTCTTTGTCATCAAATCATACAGTGAAGATGATATCCACAAGAGCATCAAGTACAGTGTGTGGGCAAGTACACCTAATGGGAATAAGAGGCTAGATAGTGCATTTCAGGATGCACTAAAGCGAATGGAAGATAAAGGAAGCAAGTGCCCTGTGTTCCTTTTTTTCTCGGTATGCTGTTGGGTTCTGTCTCAATTCTGTTTCAAAATCTTCATATTCCTCACATCTTGTTTTATTTACTTATGTATTTTCAGATTCATAACTGTGTCTCTGAATCCTTTTCTTCTAATTGTTTGTGTTCAGGTCAATGCTAGTGGTCAATTCTGCGGAGTAGCTGAGATGACTGGGCGAGTTGATTTCAATAAAAGTATGGATTTCTGGCAACAAGATAAATGGAATGGATATTTCCCTGTCAAATGGCACATTATAAAGGATGTTCCAAATCCTCAGCTGCGGCATATAATACTCGAGAATAATGATCACAAGCCTGTAACAAACAGTAGAGACACACAAGAGGTCCGCATTTTGCATTTTGTAGTATAGCAACTGTTCACTGAAAAAGTCATAGTAATTTCTTCTGTATGCTTACTCGTGTTTCATGTTTCAACTTTCCAGGTGAATTATCCACAAGGGGTTGAAATGCTCAACATTTTTAAGAATTATGTGGCAAGAACTTCCATATTGGATGACTTTGAATTTTATGAAAGCCGCCAGAAGGTCATGCAGGAGAAGAGAACAAGGCAACCTATACCCCATACCAACATACAGGTTTGCTTTTACCTGTTACCTTATTCCATGGTTTTACTAAATGTAGTACACATTGATTCCCACATTGCCTTTTCTATAGGGTTGATGAGCACATGTGATTGTGGGACCACATTGGCATAATTGTGTTTGGAGAAGGAATTCTTTTGTAATATATGATAAAATGCCTAGTTGATAAAAAATTCTAAAACTTTATCACAGAATAATTTGGTGTGGGGAAAATTTCATAAACAAATAGCCCTTTAGACTCTGGAGCATGTTATGCTATTCTTGACTTTACTATTTTCTTTATTCATAATTTGTGCGTGCAATCATATACCCTTGAGATGCTTTGATCTCTTTGCTCATTGTTGTTTTATATATAACTTTGTTGGCAGCATATAGATGAATTAACCACTGCACTTGGGTCAGTAGACCTATCAGATGTGAAGAACATTGAGGATCAAGAAAGTGAATGACTGAAGAACATGTAGGGCTGATGCTATTCGTGGGGACCCTCTGCCATGTCAGCATGCTGGTTACGGTTGGTGCAGCGGTGCAGTTGATGCTGCCACGTGGCCCATGAAGAAAGAAAAAATGTTAATGAATTCAAGGTTGAAGCTCTAAACAAAAATTGTTGCTGATGATGCTTTAGAAAGGAAGAGAAAAAGAAAAAATAATAATTTTCATCCGGGAAAAATGATGGCTTCATTCCTAATTGTACAAAACTACAAAGGAACAAGTCTTGAAGTGGATGGACCCGGTGATATAGGGATTACAGGGTGCTATGAAAAGCACATTTCATTTACTTATATTTTTGTTTGCTGCATATGATGAAGTTCAGTTTAGTTCCTCGTTTGTTGGTTTTTTCTCTCCTTTTTTATCCTTGTAGTTATAGTGATTTTAACAGCATACTAAATGGCACGTTTTGGACAGGTCACTAGTAACATGTTGAAAATGATGGGTTCCAAGTGGAAAATTATTGGAGTTGGGCAGTGTTTAGCCATGCATTATTTCGACTGTATTTTATTGCGTGGTCGTGGAGTAAGTGAATTATTGTATGATGAATTAGTGTTCATCATCATTCCTTGGACAATCAGAAAAATATTGAGAAAAGGCTTTTATCAGGGTATTAGTTAAAGAATCTATAAATAAAATGTAATTAGTAAAAGTTATGGTGAAAGTATATTAATATATTTTAACAGTAAATTACCGTTTTAGTTTTGAAACATATTTGAACAAAATAATTAATGACTAAATGTTTATTAAGTTAAGAACAAAATTGAAAAAGGGATTACAAAATTAGAAATTAAAGTGGTAATGTTTTAATGAATTTTAATTTTTGGTTTTCAATTAATATTTTAAAAGTATTAATCAAAACAAAAAGTAATATACCTAATTTATACACAAAAGATCACTGGAGTAGAGGATGATGACGTATTCGACCAAATTTTAGAATGTGCTTTATTTGGCTAACAAGTGGCATTTTCTTAAATGGAAGGCCAAAATGAGTAAAAGGTTTAAAGACAAAAAAGGAAAAGAAAAGAAAGAACTTGAAATTGCAAAACTTCAAGCTTGATAAACACTAGGGGTTGTGCATCCACTGGTAAAAACATTCATTAGTATTGGCAAAAGGAGAGAAGCCAAAGATACCATCACAACGAAAATGCAAATTACATTTGTTTTTCGTTTTCAATGGATGGGCAAAGAAGGGTGTGTTGCTGTGGTGACTCCAAAACTTTTCTCCCATAACATCCATTCCTGTAGGCTGTAACCAATGAAAAGTATCAGAATCCAAACGTCTCAAACAATGAGTGGATCAGTCATAGCCATCTAGTACAAAAAGGTTGTCAAATACTACGCAGAAGTTACTCTGTTAAAATATATGAAAAATGTTAAATAGTATATAGTTTTCATATACCCTGTTAAAATATTTTTAGGTTTCTTTAATCTTTTTGTTTCTTTATTTTTTATTTCCGTTTTTCATATATAATTTTGTATATATAGATGTGATTAGTCTTTTGTAAATAAAGATCAATAATTAATAATACATATTATTTGCCAATCTTTTATCTCATTTTATTTCTTCTTAATCTTGACAAGGTATTCAAGGCATACACCCTCTATAACATGTTCAAACACTACTTTGCTGTTGTATGAAACACCAATTTTCAGTTGCTGCCATTTACTCCTTTCTACATAATTCTCATTGTCTGCAGTTCCTCCCAATCCTTGTTACCTTTGGTCAATTTCATAATTATTGTTTCCTTTGATTATTTTTGACTGATCCCCATTGCCTATGATGAATTTAATTATAATTCCCATTGCCTTTGATAAATTCCACCTAATCCTCTTTGCCTCCGATCAATTTTGTCTAATCCTTGTTGCCATCTATTAATCTAACTTATTAGCTTCATGATTCTACCCAATTGCAAATGGCTTCACCCTTGACGCTTTTAGTATATTTAGTCATAATACGAAAATAAAGATGCTTTTAAGCCGGCAGTGATCAGGGGCTGCATTTGATGAAAAAAATTACTTGAACTAATTAAAATATAACAGGTTGTGTTGAGTTTCCTTCGTATTTGAGTTAGATAAACGAGTATATATTTAAAAATTCTTTGTGATCTATTAAATATAATAATTATTAAAATAAATTAAGGAAAGCTATCAATATTCACATTTAAAGACATCAATATATATATATATATATATATATATATATGAGTTGTGTCATTCGTTAGATCTCAAAAATAGAGACATGATACTTGACCCAAGTGACTGTGTTTATCACTTTAAAATTGATTGTATCCAATTACTCAATCGAAACTCTTGACTTTAGTTTGAATTGGGTTGGGCACAACTCATGATCATTCTTACTTTAGCATGAAAAGAATATATTTATTCATAAAGTATCAAAATAGTATCTTAATTTATTTTTAAAATATTTTAAGATATATTCGATTATTTTCTGGGATTAATTTTTCTATTATTTAGTTTTCTGCTTTCTTTATTATATATAGTTTTGTATCTATAGGTGTGATTAGCCTTTTGTTGATAAAGATCAATCAACATAATATATTATTTTCTAAACTTTTGTCTCCTTCAACCATTTACATAACCCAATACCATACATTATCATATTGATACATGCACGGACAACTTATCAAACTCAACAACCTCCACAGCCAATATTTACCTCAATAAATGAGAAAAATACTTATTTGACATTTTACATTTATTAGCTAATTGTATGCTTTTTACCTTTTAGCTTTCATCTTTGAGCTAAATTTTTAACTTTTTGCCAGTTTTCAACTTTCAACTAAATTATTCATTAGTTTTCATACCCTTAAACAAAAGTCTTCACTATGAATGGAACTATTAAAACCTAAAATAAAACAAATGTGTAAAAAAGACAGTTTTATAGATATCAAAACTAAAACCAAAATTAAATTATTTTAACCCTCGATAACTACTGTGTTGCTTACCGAAATAAGACTTGTTATTACTGTAAACCTGCATATCATAAGGGTAAATTGCATGTGTGTGTGTATTTGAGCAATGCTTATGGTATGAAATTACTTTTCACGAATACAGTACCAACGCACATATCTATCATTAATTGGACGATATTAAATTAAAATAATAAATAAGATGTTTGATAGAAAATCAGAGGATAATAACAAGTTTAAAAGAGAAAAGAACACACAATATGCAACTTATAATCTTGCATAGTCTTTATGTTTTGTTATACACACTAGTTCCATTTTTCTCAAAAGCATAAACTAAACTTGCAAAGCCATTGAACTTTAATATGAAATCGCAGGAATGAATACTTGAACTAGACTTTTTTGAAGATACATTTTGTTGCCTACAAATCTGCGATAAAAAAAATTGCATGTTTCCCATTGACATACATTAACAACAAATACATCAGTTGAATCTAAACATGAATAATCAATAAGTACCTAAACATGTCCTAATTCGTAGAAACAACTCATTATCATTTAGCAAATTAATGAGAAATGCTAATAGTTTCCCCTTTATCTAATTCTGCCGAACGAATTCAACAGTAACAACTCGTGATTCCATGCCCACTCGTGATTCTATTAAATGAATTAAACAACTAGATCACCGTCATTCCATTTTTGGTCCTACCATAAAAACCCCTCAAGAATAAACGTTAAATAAAATCACCACTCATGCGTATCTAAATTAGATTTATCCAACTTTGTTCAGCACAGATGTGGGATGTCAAAACGAATAAAAGGCAAAATTAGATTGGAAGGAGAAATGCGACGCAAAATTGCATTTACATGACGAGAATTGATCGCCCATTTACACCTACTCATTGATCTATACTGTCACTGTCAATTAAACTATGGAGAAGTTTACAACACCTGACCCCAAGTCATAATTTGATTATCCGTCAATCACAACAGCTCATGCTTCACCAGACGATGGAGGTCTACGTCCTCCTCGACCTCGTACAGCCCGACCACGAGGAGTAGCCCTTCCACGCCCTCTAGCAATGGTAGAAACCACCCCAGCCTGTCTCAGTTGTGCCCTTTCTCGAGCTCGCTCCGATAAATTAATGGTTGTTGACGTACTACTAATAGGTGATGCCTGCTTTATCTCTTCTGTTTCAGATGCGACACTAGTGGCCCCTTGCCCTTGCCTTGGAACAGGTAAGTTCACTTTGGACGAACTACCTTCTGCAGCACTACTCGTTAAAGTACCACTCTCACTCGCAACAGGGGTAGGCCCTGCCCCCTGATCAGTCTCGCTTGATACGGGTTCATTAACATCAATTAGCTTATCAGAACCATCAGCAACCTCCTCAACCAAGTCACCCACATCGTTCTTATCATCACTTGAAGGCTCAGGAGAATTAATCTCACCGGCCTCTAAAGCTTCATCATCAACCCTAGCCGGGGAAGGTTCAGGGGTTGCAGCAGGCTCAGATTGACCATCCCGAGATTCTTGGTTTTCCACAATGTTAAACAAATCACTACTACCCTCAAGATCTCCAGTATCTGGCAACAATTCTCCTTCTTCTCTCTCACCACTGGGTGCCAATGTTGACTGCTGGCTGTCTGGCTCAGTGTGGTCCCTCTGCATCTCATCAGATAGCATTTTTGTATCAACCGGTTGATCCAAATTATCTTCCAAATTTCCAGTCTTGTCACCCTGTAATGCCTCTTGACTTGTGGCATCCAAGTGTTGTGGATCTTTGGATTCCTCATCATTTCCAACAGCAGTCTCCCCATCTTCATTTTGAGCTTCACCGACTTCCTCATTTTGGGCTTGTGGCAACTCACCACTTTCAAATAATTCATCAGCAACTGGATGACTGCCTGCAAGTTCTGGAGTTGAAGCATGTTGTTCTTCAGCACTTTCTTCTGGGGACTCTGATCCTTTTGACTTCTTCAACACAGGTGCTACAACATCAGAGCTCTTCTCACCAGGTGCCGCTGATTCTTCTCGTAAATCAGAAGTCGAGGTAGGAGCAACACGTTTACGGGCCGATGGTTGAGATGATAGAGCAAAATTACTTTGGGTTTCTACGTCACTAGAGGGCCCAGGCTTGCCCCCAGGTCCTTCAGCATCAGACATTTCTGTGTCACCTTGTGGTTCATCTGGTTTTACCAGTCGAGGCCTAACCAATTTCCTACCTGTTTTACGGGTTTCAACACTGGCTTTGGGTAATGGAAGTCTCTTCTCACTTTCTCCTGTGGCTTTAGGTGGTAAACTGCTTGCTCCAGGGGCTGCCAGAGATATAATGCTAGGGGATTGAGCAGGGACCAAAGAACCTGTCATGGAGTAGTTGTTCCATTCCATTAGTATGACAAGAGGTACAAGGTTAGCATATGAAGAGAACCACTATAAGTAATTATTGAGAAGAACATTCTTTTTCTAACATCCTTCTACTACTCTCTTTATAATCCTAGAACACTTGTTTTCCACAATCTTGATGTGCACAACATTACCTGTAGCAGCTGCAGAACTATCTGTGACTGTTGTTGCATCTCCGAGATTGCTGCGACCTCCAAGTTCATAAAATACTGAATGAGCTTCCTTTTCAAAATTTTCCACAGCAGATATATAAGGAGAAGCGAAGTCATCAACATTGGATCCAGAAAGAAGTTGAACCACATTTGTTCCCTAAAAAAAATTATATATGTATAAAAAATCAAAGACAGTTTCACTTATAAATAATTGAAAATATAAAAGCAAGTGGTAAAGGCTGAGAACATAATCATAAAAAATACCCCTGCAAGCTAAAGCATGTGTATTCACTCAACATAGATTGCACAATAAATCCGTGTTTTAAATCCTTACCTCGGGAAGATTGCCAATAACAATCTTAAGCTTTTCAACTTCATCAGATAGCCTTTTCAGAGCTTCCTTATGCTTCTCAAGTTCATTAATAAACTTTGTTTTCTCCTGAAAGTAAATCAATAAAAGGAGTGAAGCAAATACTTATATTGTATGGTTGATAGAACTGGACCAGAAATAAAAGATGTTAATAGAATAAGCTAACAATGTCTCCTCAACTGAACCAATATCAGTGAATTATCGATAACAGTGGGGCTGAAATGTACATACATACACACACACACACACACACACACACACATACATATATATATATATATATATATATATATAAATGATTAAATTAATAAGTACAGAAAATAAGATATCTCAAGAAATTTCAGAATGCCTGATACTCTCACTCCAAACTTGCTGAAACCTTTCCTACCTCCACTTCTCTCCCTTTTGGTTTTTGTAAATCCTCTCTCTGATCTACCCTCATTCCTTTCCTGCTCACACTAACACCCTCTGACATATAGCTACATTAGTTGCCTGAAATTAATAATTACAATGGGGTCCCAAGCTGCATGTGGATTTTGATACCTTACTCCTAAACTTCTTCCTAAAAGTTGTGTCAGATACAGCTCTGGGGTTTTATCTCAAAATGATGATGTAACAAAAAAGTAATCCTGGTACAGCATCGAAACAAGTATAAAAAGTTGAATTCTTTCAATGCCTCCTACAAAGCTCAATGGTATTTGCATCATTGCAAGTAAGCTATTGAGACAAGATGCAACACTGAAGGTGCTTTAAATTTTAGACATGGGACAGTTATAAGAAAAAAAAGTGTTTTTTTGGACAAGTTACACTAAGAAACTTATTGAAATAAGCTAAAAAGAGCTTATGGAAGGAAACTATTTTATAAGGCCTTCACAAGCTCTTCCAGTTCCAAATGCCCCAATTTCCCATTCTGCATTGAACTCAGATCTCAATTCATGTATGAGGACAACGTCAAGCCTATCTAGATATCAGTACAAATGCAAGACATTGATAGAACTATTTTACCCTCCTAGCTTAACAATCATAAATCATATCCCACAAGATAAGAAGCAACATAATAGGCTCAATTGAAACCAAAGTTTAAATAATTCCATTTAGAGAACAAATTTTAACTATACTGTAATCATTCGCTACTTTTCAACATAAGTCAGTAAGATGAGGTTGTAAAATTTTCATTTTCTTTAACATTTATGGAAGTAGAACTTCTCTCTACTTTCATATCAACAGAAATTAAAAGGCACTAAAGGGGGAAAAATACCTGCTCAACATTGTTGTACGAGTCCTTTATAGCCTTTTCAGTCTTCAGTCGTCTGCTTCTCTCAATACGATTTTCTTCCTTCTCCTTCTTTAATTCATCTCTCAATCTCTCCAGATGTTTTTCCAGAATCTAGCAAACAGAAAATGTCAAGTAAAATTATGACAAAGTTGATCACCCTTCCTCAAAAAGGGAAGGTGATTTTTTTTTAAAAAAAAACACAATTTCAAGTGGACCTGTATTCTGGTGTCCTTTTCCTCCTTCATCGCTTGTTCACCCGTTGTATCACTTGTTGACCTCTTCCCTGATAGACACCATTAAAATTTAATTATAAATTCCAGCAGCAAATGGGAAAAGGACTAAATCTAGAAACAGAGAAAAAAAGGCAGGGGAGAAAAAAGGGTGATTGGAGGAACAAGATTATTACCTTGCTTAATTTCTTCTAATTGTCTAGAAAGTTGCTGATTCTCTTTCCCCAGATCTTCCTTTTCCCTTAACAAACCATCAATTTTCTTCTGGGAGGGTGAAAAAGGAAACAAAGGATGAAAAAAGGTAATGCAACACCAATAATAGCATAAAAAAAAAATCTACAATATACAGTTGTCCATGGAGATTTTATTTTTCAAAAATAAAAACTTGTATAGACCTTAAATTGAGCCAGCAGTTTCTTTTGCTTCTCCACATCCAGTTTTAGGTTAGCCTGTATAATTTAACCATAATACAACAAATGTAAATGAAAAATAAGAAATATCTTTCAAAACTTTCTAGAGAATAATATGCGGGACCTCAACATGCTGAGTATCATTAATTCTCTTCTCTCTGTCTGCAAGTTCCAATCTGCAGTTTGAAAGGTCTTGCTCTAGACGTGAAACAGAATCCTGCTTTTCAGCCAGAAGTTTACTAATTTCCTCTATCTGAGCATCCCTATCTCTTAGCTTATCCTGATGTGATAAAGTAAAAATGATAATAAATTCTAGAAATGATGATACCCCAAATCAAATTGATTAAAATATATAATATCTAAAAATATTTATAAAGTATATACACACACACATACTCACACTAAAATGAACAATTTAGGTTTACATAACAACCTGCAAATCTCTAGCAAGTTTCTTTACTCTTTCATAATCCTCCACATCCACATTTTTGCTTCTTTCATGCAACTGAAGAGAAAACAAAATAAAATTCCAATAAAAACAGAGTAACGCATAGCAATGAATTTTATTTTCAGTATGTCAGAAGGAAATACCTCAGAAACCTTGTGGTTGAGATGGTCTTTTTCAATTTTTAGTGTTTCAATATCTTTCTTATGGCCATCCAGCTCAATTTCCTTTTCCCTCAGAAGATTCTCTAGGTTCTGTGTCTCAGCTCTTGCCTTTTGTGCTAGTTCATGTGATTTCTATCGAGTCAAAAAATATTTGTTTATTGATAACAGGAAACAAATAATACACCATGCAACACGTGTTACCCAAAGATATGCGAAATCCCATAAACTGACTGATGCTATTATGAAAAGTCAACACAGATCAGTGGATAAGCAAGAAATTGCTATTAACGGCAGTTAATGATGGAAGTACTGAGAAAAAAATTCTTTCCTAGCTCATAAGAATGGAATATTCATGTACTTTTTATGTTGAAATAACAACAAAATGAAAAAACCAAAAAGGAAATTGATGATTGACATTGCCATATACCAGACACTCCTCAAAGTTGTGTTTGTTTTCTTCCCTAAGCTGCATGTTACTCTCACGAAGTAAGTTCATTTCTCTGACCTGCAAATGATTTTAAGAAATAGATCATTATTTGATTGATCATATTATCATCAGGAAATATTTTTTAACATTTTTTGGTTTAAAATGATAAACTTATTATGCCATCAAGAAAAAAGCCATGGATGACAAGGAAAAGTAGATTGTGATGAAAGGATTTCGAACCTGAAGCTGCAATGATTTGAACTCTTCTTCAGTAAACAAAAAGGATCTTGATTTTGCATGCTCAGCTTCAAGTGATGCATGTGCTGACTCTGCTGCCTTCAAAGCACTCTCAAGCTACAGAAAACCAAGAGATTTGAAAGTATTATACAACTAAATATATACCCAAATTATATGTTTCATAGATGGTCACAAGGAACTGAATTCAAAATCACATTTATTAGTTTAAGGACCCTTCACATGAACAGGGACCCTTCCCCAAAGGATCTATATGACATAAATGCAGTCCTTTTGCATGATATATCCAATTTTCTAATACAAGCTGCAAAAAGCATAAAAAAGCAAAAGGCTATTGTTTTGGTATAACAAAACAACAAAACAAAAAGTGAACTAAACTATAACATACAATAAAACCCATATCCAGGACTTCAGGCACCAATAACAGTGGAGAACTTCAGTCTCTTTGAATCAAGAAAAAGGAATTTTTTAAGGGAGAAGCAATAAGGTAAAAGTCAAGACAATACAATGACAAGATCCCTGCAACATTACTAATCATTACAAAACCAAATCACCAGCTTCAAATTAGCAGGGAAATCCCAACTGGATATGAAATTTGGTTGAGATACATAAAAATCTATTGACAAGGATAATTACATGTAGATTGGAAGACAATAGGTATTACTTGTGTCAGACAACAGAAGCAATTCATAATGAAATATTAAGTGATAACTCATAATATAAATTTAATATAAATATTAATTGAGTACTTGATGCTTCACCTTGTAAAATGAAGATAAGAAGAGAGATATTAGATATTACTCACAGAAGTCTGATGTTCATACATCATGAAAAGAACATAAGAAAAAAGTACATGATTTTACCTGTGACTGTAATCGTAGCTTTTCCTGTTTTAACAATGAAACTTCTGTTTCAGCCTGTGAAAGTAGAAAACAGTATTAGATAGCCAAGAGATGAACATATAAATAAAATATTAGAAGGACAAAGGTATTTACAATTTCTTTTGAGCGCCGGAGATAATTAACCACATTTTGAAGGCCAGCATCACCAAAGGTATCTGCACTACTACTTCCAGATGAAATACCAGCTGCATTTCGCTCCTTCTCAGCCCATTGAATATGCAAAGCCTCAAGTTGGCTATGAAGTATTTTATTCTGAAGAATGTCAACAAAGTTGTTCATGTAATTAGAATATAACACATGATGTCCTATGTATCTCTAACTTCAATGCAATAAAATTCTCAATATACAAATCATCAATTGATCTCCCACCATGGCATATGGACCAAAAACTAACACCTAGTTCACACAAACACATTCACTCAAAAATATGAGTAAAAATCAACTTAAGACAGGAGAAAATAACAATGAAATTAGAGGATAAATGGATACGAAACCTCCATAAATTGGAAAGGGGAAAATTAAAGAGAGAGAAGATATAAAGGAAGCAAATTTGCCCAATCCCAAATCAGTTGCTAAGCCAACAAAATTATAGAGCAAAATCAATACCAGTTGCATAACAAAATTAAACTCATCAATATTAATAATCCATTTAGCAGATGAATCAAGTTACAGTGAAAAAAAAATTACAACAGGGAAAGAATCATGTAGCATTCATTCATAATTCTGCAAAGGTAGGTTTCTTGTAGTACTGAAGCACATAAAAATTAATGAAAGAAATGTTCTTAATTACCTGTTCATTGATTTCATTGTATTTCTTCTCAGCATCATTCCTAGACTTCTCTAGTCTTGCCTTCTCCTCGTCCCACTTAGCCTTTAGTTCATTCTGTCAAACACATCAATTGTACATCAAGCTATAACAATTGTACATATCAGGAAAATTCCAGGATTAATGGTTGTTGAAAATAATGTAAATAAAGTAACTATGTAAATAAGGTAACTACATAAATAACATAATCGTAGATGGCGTGATTTTAGATAAAAGAATATCATGTAATATTATTATAAATAAATAGCTCTTCTGCATATTCCAACACACAAATTTATCCAATGTCTTCTCATTTCTCTCTCTCTTGACATGGTATCTAGAGTCTAACGAAGAAGCATTCCTAATCTGTGCATTCCCGGCGGGGCCACTGGCCATTGGTGTGTGTGTGTGTATATATATATATGTTTCCAGAAACTGCTTTCATTCATGGTTTCTAGGTAGTTTTTTTATGTCTTTCCCTTGTCAAGTACTATTCCCACTGACGGCCACCATTTTCTGGCAACCTTTCCATTCTCCAACGGCTGGATCAGGTTCACTGTCCCATGATTCATGCTCTAATAATCCATGCCCAACTGTGCCATCCTAATGTTGCCAACTTGAAGCTGCTAGTGCCAAGTCAATAATGATTCTTTTAGAACATGGCCACTCATAAATTGGAAGTGTTTATTTCATGAAATTGAGTTGGCCTGACTCAACCCTAAAAGCATAGCATATGACATGAGGATTGCTCAAACCTTTATAAACTCTACTTTAGTCATATCTATAATTCACAAGGATCTCAACACACACCGCCTTTATCCTCAGGTATGGACCTCCAGACTGTGGAAATTGAAAAACATTTTTTTTTTGTATTAAACTAGGAAAGCCACAGGATCAAATAGATTGCTTCAAAAACTCTACAGGACCAAGCATCAGGAAACCTGAGGGTCTAAGTTCATTTTTCTACAGTTGAGGGCGGCCCAATAATAATATTAAATCTTTGATGAACTCCATCATCTTCAATTGAATTGAACCTAGCTAAACATTAAAAGCTAGTTCGACAGGTAAGGATTTCCTAAGCCTAAAACTCTACTTTAGCCATATCCATAGTTGATGTATGAGCTATAAAATATCTTTCATTCTTGGGCACGTTAGCATAGGAAACATAAAGTAGTGATTACTTAATCAATTCCTGGAAATAAATCGCAAAGATTTAAAATGTTGCTTCCATTTAAACTGCATTACAGTCAAAAACCAAAGCACCAGAAGATATGGCATATTATTCCGACAACAATCAGCATAAAATCAAAACAATGACCATATCATAAGAGTCTCCAATAAACACTTCAGAAACTAAAAGCATAAACAAGCAGAAACAATAGTACTCATACTAAAGTATTGAAAAAGAAACAGGTAATAAAACTAAATATACAATGAATAGGAAATTTTACATTTTCAATTTTCTGAGCATCAGCAAGTTTCCGTAATTCAGATGCCTCCTCTTGCAGCAAGGCTAGTGCTTCAGATGTTTTAGTCAACTCTTGAATAGTTTCAGACTGGAGAATAACCTGAACAATAAGAAAAATCTAAGATTAAGAAAAGATATCAACATAAGCAAAGATTACGCAATACATGTATACATACATCGTCAACAATTAAAAATATAATTACAAACAGAAATTAAAAAATCCATATTTGTTTAGTGAAAAAAAATCCAAATTTGCCATATTGCCAGAACATAAAATCATGGAGAATGACTTATCCTTCATAAAAACCAACTAAAAGAAAACCAAAAAAACAACAAAACAAAGCAAAATTCAGTGAAAAAAATCCACGGGATTTTTGTTTAGTTTTTTGTTTTCATTTCCAATAGATATTTTTCATTTGTAAAAACAAAATGCCAACTCATTTTATTTTGTTTCCAATTTATAGTTTTTTTATAAAACAAGGTTTCAACATTTCCTTGATTTCATCATGTCAAGTTCTTCTACAGGAAACATGATGACAACAAGGTGGCATTTTTTTATCATTTCCTTGTTTCAAAATATTATCCCTAAATGCATGAGTGCGAGTATATGGTTACACGATAAAAAGTCAGACAACAAAGCAAAATTAGCATCAATATATGATTCATCCAACAATTTAATCAACAACAACAACCGAGCTTTATCCCATGTCGGTTATATAGATCACATGACGCTATTATGCTCAGTCTAAACTCAAATTTTCAGAAATATGATTAATCAAAAGTTCTCTTTCAATTACTTCCTCTAAGGTAACAATATAATCAAATAAACAAATTTTACTATATAAAGAATCATTTACCTGTCTTTCGTAATTTGTCTGAGCTGCACGCCATTTCTGTTGCTCCTTGTCCAGGTGTTCTTTCAAACCAGATATTTGAATTTCCATTGCTGAAATTTGAGAACTACATGCAGAAACAATGTAAGATATATGAAATCAAACTAGCAGTAAAGTAGTCACTGCAGTGCAAAGATACAGCTTACGATTTGGTCAAAACTTCCTCTTTGAGATTTGTGATTTCAGACAAAGTGGAAATAAGAGCCTCTTCCTTTCCCGCAGTTGCAGAAGCTGCTTCTTCAGATTTCAAACTAGATTCATTTTCAAGTTCTAAAATCTTCTCCCTAAGTGAATGAAGTTCAGATTCCAGTGCTTTCTTTGCATTGTCAGCCTATATTTGTTTGCAAAGACAATAAGCAAATTGAATAAGTACAACGGCTAATGGCACAGAAAATAGCTTTCAAGATTCAATTATGCTAAAATACCTCAGTCTTATAGTTCTCATGTGCAATTTCTATCTGTTTCAGTGCATCTTCATTCACCTCAGCAATGCTCTTATACTGAAGTGTAAAATGTAAAGCAGTTAGTTTAATTGCAAATTAAGTATAATTAAATTTGGAAAATATAAAATAATAACCTGTAGCATGTGAGCTTTGTTAGCATGTGCTTCCTCTCTCAATTTTTCAATCTCCTCCTTTGCCTTTTGCAATTCAACAACCTAGACCAAGTTCAGCGGAAAAAATGTCAAGCATAAATGCAACACGATGTTTTCTTATTGCAGAGTAAATTATACAGAAAACAGGAAACAAATACAGAGTGTGCTCATGTACTAAATTTCTCGCACAACTCATTTGATCTATTGACATTTTTTTATTAGATTTATTTCATTTATTTTAGTTGAACTAATTCTCCTCCAGACAACAATAAGGAAAAAATGTCAGTTCAAAAATAAGCCAATAGGTTTGTCGGCCAGATGGCCACATGTATCAACTGATGCCGTTGTGTTGTCCAAAATCAAATCATCCAAGAGGTCATTTAGATCTAAATCCTTTTAATGAATTTACTTCAAATCTCATCTAATGAACTCTTCTAAGTGGCACTTCTATTGTCGAAGTCTCACATGTCCAAATCATTTAATGTGCAATTACAACATTTTTCTCATCAACAGGTACACTTCCAACTTTTTCTCTTGTTTCTAATAAATTAATTCAATTTTATCATTCTCGTTTGACCATTCATCCAACATCCATTTCCATCTCTGCAATCGCAATACTTTTCTTATTCTAATGGCTGAACCTTTAATCGACTGACATTTAATACTGTAAAGCATCATTTGTCATGTGGCGGTGTGGCCGCACTATAAACTTTCCTTTTAGCTAAAAAGGTACCTTTCTATCACACAACATCTGAAGCATTCCTACATTTCATCCACCCATCAGAGATACATAAGTTATGATATAATCTCCAATTTTCACCTACGCCCATGCTATCACCTTTTCCAATTTTCCACTTCATTTTGGGAATGACAAATTACATTTTAGTATATACACCAAATGCAAGAAAGGAGGGCAATGGGGATTGAGAAAATTTCTAATTAATTCTTAAATGGTCAAGTTTCCACACACCCTCCAAGACACACTTCTTTTCTATGGTGCAATAATACTATAATATAGTTCCCATGTCTCCATGCAACGTCTATTCATTTACCCATTATGTTTACTTAACTAAATAGTGTGCACTTAAATAATGTTGAACATATTAGTGTATTTCATTTATGTCATAATATATTGCACAAGCAAATGCAAAGCAGTAAAGTGAAATTAATATATTATATTTTACACTCACCTCATCACTTGATAAAGTTGAAGGTCCACCGTCACCATCCATTTCAACAAGCTACATTCAATAATAAAAGAAGTAAGAATTAACTGAATAAATATTATTCATTAATATGCACAAGTAATCTCCACCCAGACTCCATAATCTATCAATAAATTCAACAGATTGTGTCAAAACTCCAGTCAGTTCATTCAGTTACACAATACTCCCTATGATCTGTTTTATAAGGCACCTTTAACAAAAATATACAGACTAATAAAAGTAGTTAAATTTAGTTAGTTTTCTATATTTAAAAAAAATACTACAACTTGCAAATTTTATCCTCATTTAATATCATTTAACGTAAGCATAGTACCAATACTTTAATTTTTAAAATTTGCTCCTTCCTTGCTTGGTATAATTTATGATTCCCACGGTCCCAACAACTCCATTCATTAAGGACAAATAGGAAAAGAAAAATGAATGCTTCATAGGAATAATAAACTGCCAAATAATAAAGACAACCACAAAACCATCTAGATAGCGCCTTATAGAAAAGACCATAGGTAATGTGATAGTGCCTTATAGACAACCACAACTCCATTCTCAGTTTCTTAGTGGTTATCACATCTAATTTTATTAAAAAAAAGGAGCTTTCAAAAATGCAAAATCTGCAAAAACATTTAATTCAAATGATACTAAATAAAACAAAAAAGTCTACAAACTAAACGGAAAGGAGTATAAAGCCTAAAAGTAATAGTTCTAAAGAGACAGGAATCAGTAAGATACTTCACAAATTAACAATACCAATCTAAGAAACATTACCTTGTCATCTGTGGAACCAATTTTTCTTTGAAGACTGGAGAGCTTTGCCTGTGTATAGAGATCGAAGTTAGTCTTTACAATTTATAAGGAATACAACATACAGAAGACAGCAACCTAAAAAATACCTCAGCAACAGCAGCCCTTGATTCAGCAGATGCAACTGCATGCAATGCATTAGCTAACTCTTTATTCATATCCTCAACCTGTCTCATAGTACATTTTATGGTCTGGTCCCGGTCTAGTGTGAGTCTTCGCATATTTTCCCGCTCATCATGCAACTCCTGCTTGGCCTCAGCCCATTCCCTCTGACAAGAGAGAATTTACAAACATGATAATAAATCATTTAAACAAAAATGCCAAACATGCACTCATTTTAAATTAAAAATTATGAAAGAAAATCACATGCCTCCAATTTCTTAATATATTCTTCTTGTTTAGCCCTCTCTGCTGCTCTTGCTTCCTAAATTTTTTTCAAAAAACCATATAGAAAGTTTTAAGGAAACGTGAAATTAACACAAATCGGTGTTTGATAATAATGAATAATAACCAACCTCTCGAACTTCCTCAGCACTCTGTATGGTACTCAAACTAGCCTGCAACATTGACCATAAGAATATGCAAATTTATAGAATATAAAAAAAAATGAAAACAATGCTGACCTGCAAGCGCTGCACCCTTTCAGATAAACTGCAAACCTCATCAGATGCTCTCTTTTCAGCATTTGAAATGACTTCCTTTTCATGCTTTAAAACAGACAACTGAAACAAGGATAAGGAATGAGTTCAAAGCAAAAAAAAGGTACATATCAGTTCAAAAGCTCAAAATTTAACTGGAATAAAATATTAACCTCCATTGAAAGTTTCCGAGAAAGCTCCTCAGCAGCATTCAATGACTCAGAGCTCTCACGCAATTTTCGTTGGTAGTCAACAACCAGCTGAGAAAATTCAACATTTCTTTCTAAAATGCCTTTCACTTCAGCTTTCTAAAATATCATCCAAAAAAATAAACAAATTAGAACCATACAAACATGAAAGGTCAAAGCATTTAATATTACAGACAAGTAATTGCCTGGTGTTCAAATTCTTTCACAAAGCTCTCAAGTCTCTCTTTAGCAAAATTTGCTTCCAGTGTCCTCTTGTCACGTTCTGATCTTAATATAATAATCTCACTCCTGAAGAAAGATAGAAACTCAGATTTAGAACACCGATTATGCTATAGAGAAAGCATGAATGTGTAAACAGATCACGCAAAAAATTTAATTATTCACATATCATTTGTCTAATAAGCATTAAGATTGCTTGGTCATAAATGCTTTAAAAATAGAACAAAAATAATATACATGAAAAAGGGTATTATAGTTATGTACACATGCACAAAATTTTCTAACAAGGGATAAGCGTATATAACTTCAAAATTGAAAAAACATTGTTATATCCAGAATTCAACCAAAGTAAAACCTTTTGAGAGTTTCCCAGAATTATATATTACTTCTCCATAGACAGCAGGTTAAAAATCATAAATAGTTTATCTATGACGCCCAGATACTTCAAAACAGCAAATGTATCCGTGTCAGACACGTATTCGATACCGACACGCGTCCAATACATCTAAATACTTATCTCAAAAACATCTATAATTTAATTTATTTTTAAAAATTAATTTCTAACCTAATATGGCTTAGATACAATTGGAATATGGTTCCCAATCATTTGATACAGTTTAGAATTTAGATAGAATTAAATAGTAAAAAGGCAGGACCTTCTTTTTGTGATAGTTCTATATTTCTTTTAGATAGAAATACTAATTCTTTTGTAAAATTCTAATTTGAATAGGGGGTAAAGTATGTAATTTTTTTTGTGTTTATAGTAGGAAAAATATTTTGACTTAGTTACTTAGACAAAGGAAAAATATGATCTCATGTATTTTTTTTGTAAGATGTGATCATTGATATCCAAATATAACACATTAATATAAATGAATTATTAATATCTCCTTATAAATATTTTGTATATGTATAAAGTATGTTATTTCTTTAAATTCATATTAACGTATCTAAGCCGTATCGTATCTTGAATTTCAAATTTTTTCCGTATCCCCGTATCCGTATCGTATCCGTGTCATACTAAGTATCTAGGCTTCATAGCAGTTTATGCTATTTATACAATTAGAAATCAAAAGAGGAAGCCTTTTATACACCCACATAATGGACAGGAAACTCACCCTAGATCCTGCATATAGCAGGAACTTTATAGTATCACCTACATTTTAATAGTCCCCATAACTGTTGAAGTTAAATTCAGAAGCATGTTCAGGTTGTTTATTATAATTATAATCTTCTCTTTCCAGCCAATTAGACACAAAAATTTAATACATAAAAACAGACAAATCATATACATCTACATTACATTTTTCAAAAAAATGTGTCACAAGTCTGCAACCTTACCTAGACTTTGCTAGATCATCATCAAGGCATCTCACACGCTCAGCAGCTTTTTCAAGGGACTTCTTAGCAACCTCCTATGAAAACAATTACATACATTAGAAGTGTTAAAAATTAAACCTTTCATGAGAATTCACCTAACAACAAAATGCTTTTTGGAGAGTTAGTTCTTAACATAACATCAGAGCAGAAAGAACTGAGACGCTACAACACAACAATGTAAGGAAGCATAACATAAATAGGCAATAAATATAGAACAGACAAATGACTAAACCAATTTTACAAATTAACACAATCTCATACTCTTAACATAAAAGTTGAAATTGAGCACTAGGTATATAATGGACTTGTGCATTCTGCACACATCAGCCCAAAGGAATCTTGCATGTGGGATGTCATGAATGAGTATGACTCCATTCATAAGCCTTCCCCTAATAACTTAAACATTTAGCAGCACTGATCCTTTACAAGAAGTATGAGAGTAGAAGTAATTTTCCTATGTTTCCCAACATTATCTTTACCTGTGAACTTTCAGTTGAAGTCTTAAGGTTGTTTCTTCCAACTTCTGCAACAGCTGAAAAATTCAACAGTCTATGAGGTGCAGATACTTGTCTGACAATATTCAGCGGAAGTGCAAGACAGCTCATTTACAATAGTCTAACAAAATACTTGTGTACAAAAGCAAAACCAATCAAACAAGCAAAAATTTAAATCAATAGATTGCATTACGGTCAGATCTCAGCCAGCAAGCAAACAAGACCAACATGTAAGGATACAAAATCTTTTCAAGTAATTGACCTAAAAGTAAGTTGAGCCAGAAGCAATTTATTCTAGGCACACACAAAAGACACAATAGAGATATGGTAGAAATCATATGTTTATTAATGATTCTCCCTTGATAGGAGGTCATATCCAAGTGACTAAGATTATCTATATATAATCTAAAGAACCAGAACGCATGACTATAACACTGGACAAGATCACAGGCACAAATACAATAATATGGAAAATTCTAAAAGACCCATTTATCTAATTCTTATGACATGTCACCGGTATTGGCATAGAAGTTTTAAAATATGACTAATCAAATTCTTATGAAATCCCAACAGTATTGTGGTAGGAACTGATTTTATAATAAGACAATTAGAAGGAAACAATCAGAAGCAAGCTCCAAGAAAAGTACACACTACAATGGAAATACAAAAATGAAAAAGAAAGAAGATATTAGAGAAGCAAGAGTGCTTTCTCTGCCCTATGGTTTTAGCCACCTCCTCGTTACACACATGATTTGATAATGTTAAATGCCATCCCAAAATGATGTGCAATATTGCTTAAATATCATCTTAATTCAGGTATCATGGGTTTCAAACATTGAAACCTACACACCAGACCCAAAACTTGAAAATCCATAAACAGATAAAGTAGCACAATCCCTAAGCTTCTCTAAACCCCTTTTGCATTATCTAAGTTTCAGATGTACACAGTTTTTACTTATAACTTCAGATGCACACTGCATAAACTCTATTTACATTGGATTGCCCTGTGTCATTCTTGAAATAAGGTGATTTGTAAAATGTTTTCCCTTGGGGCTAGGGGAGCACAGCATCATCCCCATTACTATAACTTGTTAGCAAAGTTTTCTCAAATATTCAGAAAGAAGAGCCCTATTAAGCTCCTATTCTTACACAAAATTTATTGCACTAGAAACAAGGAAAAGGAAGCTATATTTCAGAAACCTGCAAGAGCGTCTGAAGAATGGGTATGAGATAAATGAAGATTATGCTCCTCCTCATACAATCTCTTATACATCGCAACCTGTAAGAAGTAGGAATCATAAGTACAAATTTAGAGGCTCAAATAGTAACAAGAAATGCTAGTAACACATCCTCCAACATTCTTTTCAACACAACAAATTCTCATAATAATAAAGAATGGGATGCTACCATTTCTCATAATAACAAAAACAAAATAAGTAAATCAGGTCATTCAGACCAATTGTTACAACCAAATTCTATATAGATCTAGTGTTTTAATCCCACCTGGACCTGTAAGGTAATTTTCTACCATCTAAGAAAAACCTATCGCTTCCCAGGTTGCAGAAGTGCTATTATAACCAAAAACAAAAACATTTGTAAAAGCTTACAGATGTATGAAGCGCTTCAATCATGTGTCCTTGTTCTTCTGCTCTCTGCAGAACAGCTGCAACTTTAGAAGCAGCTTCTTCTGTATGCTTTTTCAGTTCAATTCCAAGCTTCTCCTACAGTTTAATAGTACAAAAACAACAATCAAATATCACAAGGGAGTTTGCAGGCTAAGCACGATGATGGAAAAAAATTTCGTTTCCAACAAACCTTGAATTCCACCTCCTGATTTTCAATCTGGCCAGAAAGACTACGAACAAGGCTTCTAAGCTGGACATTCTGCTCAACTAGTCCATTAATGTCCTTGAAGGTCAACTGCTTCCAAATTTCAATTGAACACATTTAACAAGAAAACAGACAAGTTCAAGAAGAACATGACAGACAAAAATAAACCCAAAAACAGCTTACAAGATGTTCTGAAATGACATCTTCAGCTTCAGTCTGTGTACTTGTCCTTGAAGCAATATTTGGAGCATCATCAACAATATCACACCCAACTGACCCACAACGAAGTTGTATGTCTCGGCATTCCTTCAAAAGTACGGTCACCTGTAAAATATCAATCATCAATCAACATGTTACGAGAACACATAAGCACTTCCATGAGGATAAAACAATGACCTTGATTACAATAATGCAGTAAAACTTAAATAAAGATCATCCAAAAACAAATTTATGGATCAAACAGTTATTTCTTAACAAGCTAAAAGTTTTAGCTTCAAAACAATCACAATTTATGCATTGAATAAGTGGAGTAAAAGCTCTTTGATTCCTACTTGCTACATACAAGAAAAGGGAGATATTCAAAATTTTGCAAACTACAAAATATCACAATGTGATATTATGAAAACAGGTGATTGAACATAGACAAAGAGAAGAAACTGAAATTGCAAAGAATCAATTTGATTTTATACTAGAAAGGCCTATTGTAGAAACTACACATCTTCTAAGGAAGTTGAGGGAAAAGTTTCAAAGCATAAAAAGAAACTTGTATATAATTTTTGTTGACTTGAAAACACATATGATTATATGCCAAGAAAAATGTTGTAAGAAGCTTTGGAGAATATATGAACATTCAGCTCCACATTTGCAACAACTAGCTATCAAAATTTTGAGCTTGACATGTAACGCATTCAAATGTGAACACAACAGGAGTGTTTTTGAGCAAGTAATTTCTCATCTCTTAAGCCTAGTATTTTCTTCTAGAAATTAGAAAGAAACTAATACTTTTTTAATTACACTTACGTTACATATTTATTCAAAAAAGAATAGGTTTGATCATAAAAAATTACATGACTTGGTTTACGTAAAATATAACCAATAACTCAAAGAACGTTACAATCTTAAAGATGTATGATGCTGAGTTTAATGAGTGGTTGGTTGAAGAGATGGATGATGATGCTTATGATGAGGATGCCAAAAATGATTTAGTTTTTTATGGTGATAACACTTTAAATTGGATAATTGTTTATGAAGCTTCTGAAATTGAAGAGCCTAGAAAATATACTAGGTGTCATCCTAAAAAAAAAGAAAGAGTCCATCAAGTGATATTACTATAAAAACTGCAAAAGTTTCCAAGATCAAGACATATTCAACAGCAAAAAGAAAGAGAAAATGGAAATTGGAGATGATGATGATGATGAATAACAAGATGAAGAGATGTCAGAAGAAAATCTGAGAGAGAAGAGGAGTAGGGATATGCCTTGATGAATGAGAAAGATGATTACATTGGAGTTGAAGAAGAGGACTAAATTGATAATCTTGTTTTTAATGTTAACTTGACATTTGATGACTTTTTATTTTGTATTAAATTATGCTTTAGATTGTGGGTTATGCTACTTATATTTTGAGTTAATTCTTTTCTATCATTTCCTAAGTTATAATATTTTTTATATATTTTATTATAACCAGCCATGGCAGCCGCCATAACTTTATGGCAGTTTTTTGGATTTTCTCCATGACCACCATCTGCCATTGATAACATTGGTCATGGTGTTACATTGACGACAACAAGAAGACAGACTACAACCTAAGCTCAAGAATAAATAACTTCATGAAATACATATATATACAATAAACATAGTAAACTTCTAGGAAAACGTGGATGCTTTACAGTTTACCTGTTTTCGAAGGTCGTCTGTTTCTTTCTGTGCAAGATTATAATCACGTTCACGCCTTTTTATGTCAACCTGCAAGAGATACAACTAAGAAAACAAGAAACCAAAAAAACTAGATGTGGATGAAACAGTAATTTATGTTTTAAACCTTCAGTTCTTGGATGGTTTTCTCTAAGTTGGAATTTTGATCAAGGGAGTTTTGCAATTTCTGGTTCATCAAGGAATATGCATCAGCCATCTTTTCATGTTCCACTGCAAGAACAGTACATATATTTCAATGAAAAAACTATGGCATTGATAGACCATGCTAGCACAGGTTCTCTTCATCATTCACATCGGACACCAATGAGTTTTGCTTGAAAATGCCTTACACAGCCCATTTAAAACTCCAAAATGGATTATCTGATCCTTGTATAATTTCCCCAATAAGCAGTGCAAATAAAATTCTTAGTTAACAAGACCACCAGTCCACCACCACCAAAATGTAAGTAAAAAGGAGCAAGCACAAAAATAGCAACCACCCACTATTGGCCCATTCACAATAGAACTAAATAATATACAATCAACAAAACAAAGCAGTAGAATATAGATGCAAATCTACATTTCTATTTTCTAGTTAAACTTACTGCAGAACAATTACGACAGGGATTGGGAATTTGGGATTTAATGATACTTTATTCTTTTAAGTTCACAACTTAGTCAATAAACACCCATTCAACCCAACAGCAAGATATACCTCTTTCATCTACTATGGCTTCTGCTTTCTCTTCTAACTCATATAGCACCTGAAAAGGTTAATACAATATTCCATCATCTTCAACATAAATGACAGGCAACATGGAAGTGTGTACTGTTAATAAATTAAATTGTTGCAGGAAAAAAAAAAAGCATTCTAGTTAACAGTAAACAATAGTAGAAACAAATGCCATAAAAAAGTTTGCAATGGAATGAATATGGTTTGCCATTCATAAAACATTACCCTTGGACATCAGCATAACACAGCAGAGTTGTAGTAAATCAATTAATCTCCAAATTCATATAATCAATTCACAAGCATTCTTCAAGGAGGTGCAGTCTGGTGGAGTTTATTCTCTTTGTATGATATTTCACTTTAAATTTTAATTTTATTCTTTTTATTATCATGAACATTTTGGATAAATTACAACATATATTAGAATAGATCATCATTTGTATAACATTGTTAGTTAGTTGAAGTCATGGGAAAAAAATTATTATCTGTGTATCAATTTTCTTAATTGTGATATTTAACACTAGTTTAATAGACTTGCAAAACATGCAAGTTTGACAAATTATGTGTTGTATTGGATCTTAAGTCTATGACTTATAAGTTTATGTTTAATTAAATATAAGTGATTTAGAGATTAATTTATTTATCTATGTTATTTTCTATTATATATATATATATTATTTTCTATTATATATATATATATATTATTTTCTATTATATATATATATATATATATAAGTATAATTTGCTTCAAACCACTTAAGGTACACCAAACCACAAAAGAAAAATAACGAATTAATACCAATTTTTGTTCCTCCATTGGTAAACACATCAAGATAGAGAGCTTTAGTGTCAATTCTTGACATCAAATCAGACCTTCTCGAAATACCAAATTGATCCCAAAAATATTACTGAAGGACCATTTAGGAGCTTTGATAACAAAAAATTACTATCTTTAGAGGAACAAATGATGGTTATCTGTTATCCAAAATTTAATAATGAACATGCTTACATATATATAACAACAAATAATTCAAATCATTACAGACCTATTCATCAAAATGCTTTTTTTCCTCTGTTATAAACGACCAAACAGAGAAGAAGAAACATTTTAAGAAATGTGATATTGTATTAGCCCTCTTTTGAGGTTATATATAAAAAAATGCAACAAATTAACCATACCCGTTGCAGTATTGCCTCTGATTCCTTCCTTCCCATTTGTTCATGTCTCAGTGCATCAACAGCCTCTTGATATTTTGCATACATTTTTGCCAACTTCAACAAATAAAGAAATACAGTAAGATTTAATTATATAAATAAAGTGAAAATTTTGTGCCAGTATTAAAACGTAAAACTTTAATAAATAACTCACACTCCACCCATCTCGCAGAAGTGAAGCAGCCAATGCTGTTCCAGAAACACCAACAGGAATTTTCGGGACTAGTAAGTTATTTTCCTCAACCATGCCATCAGCTTCAATTGACGCCAGCCACCTTTAAGAACACAAGTTAAGTTGTATAGAAGCAAAAATGGCCTAAAAGTTACCTCTTGATCATTGCCATGATTAGGTATGTTTTCATACCTTAATGCAAAAAAAAGGTTGGAAAGAAATTCAATTACATATGCTGATTACGGACAAAAACATAAAAAATGCAAAACACAACTATCTTCCTATGCTATGCCTTCACAGAGAATTTCTCAACTGACAATTAAAACTTCTAAGATATTAGGATTATTTTGTCACTAGTGTCATTTTAATACTAGTAAAGTTGTAGATCAAATTACCAGTATAAATAGGAGTATTATATTAGATTGAAGTATCATCACACAACATCTAATATTCATATTTTCAGTTTACAATCGATATCCATCTTTCTCTCTGATTTCCTTTTTTACAACCATCCACTTCAAAGGGTCTACCCTATCAACTGTGTTGACTCCAAGTCGCTCTGTTAATTCTTCCTGTTTATTTCCATGAAAGTCAAATAGCAAGAAAGTCATCTTTTCGGCTTGGGGCAAGGAGGTTGAGACAAATTGTTTTCATTTTACTGTTTATTCAGTCAATTGTGGCTCCTATTCTGTTTTCCAAGACAAAAACTCATGGGTGGTCGCTGGCAGTTCAAGGTCAATCATAGTCTCCTGGTGCCAGAAACAGGCGTGAGGTAGTTACTAGCTAGTGACTGAAATAGAACCCCTCTACTTTGTTAACAGTATTTCAAGTTTGTTTTAGCATCAAAGATGGTTTTAGGTTGAGATTTAGATTCTGACTTATCACAGTGCTATTATTTTCTGGTTATGGTTTTGGCTTCCTGTTGCTAACTGTTGGGATCATACTGTTTGAGACATGACAGGTTCTACAAGACCTGTTTGATTTATTGTAAAAAAGCCTACTGTAGATTACAGAAACCTGAACTTAGCAATGGTCTCTGATTTGACAAGAGTAGATTCTGGATGGTTGATAGTTTGGAGTGTTCATTTCTTGTTTTGCACTATGAATCTAGTGTTCTGTCAGTATACTCTTTCTGGGTTGGCTAGACATCATTACAACAACCTATGGTGGCTGGCCACTATTCTGGTGAGGTGCACCAGTGATTCCAGCCCATGCAAGATATGTTAAGGTTTTTCATACCCTTTAATCTATTGATGTTGTTAATTTCAGTTATAGTTTGGTGATCTTTGCACCCTGATCCTGCCTTCTTGCAAGCCTAATCCAGTTTACAGGTTTCTTTCTTCTTCTAATCACTGCTATGGATACCAGCAATCACAACCATTGCAACCCAGGTAGTCATCTGAATTTCTTGTCTTTCTGCCAGCCATGGTGTGATTCTTGTGCTGTTCGGTTATTTCTTTTGAAACAGTGACATTCTTTACAAAGGATTATTTCTCTTTGATCTCTTCTTCGATGTCACGTCTGCATTTTTCTTCTCCTGCTTGGCTCTGGTTGGACATTGAGTGGTCCAGCATTTGTCTTTTCATTTTGTCTAAGCTATGTTCAGATGGTTCAGTATCAGTTGGTCGACTGAGCTTATCTTCTCTCCTTAGGGTCAGCTTCCAATTAAAATAGAGAAATAGAGTTCACTTCTTCTATCCTGTCTGACTGTTTGGCCTCAAGTTTCTATTGAAGGTTGCTACAGTTTTTGGAATCTATACTGAATTTAAGGCCATGTTTCGACCTTGATAGTCAGGGGGGAAGTAAGGGTTGCTCATTTGTTGGGATATCTGATTGAGTTATTATGGTGTGAATATTTCAGCTGTATACTGTGTTAACATATACAGAGATGATCAGTGGCGTTAAAATTGCAAGGGTTTTGTGATGCAATTAATGAGATTGTGGTTTGAATACTTTGGCCACTGAGGAGAAGAAAGATTAAAGACTCCAAAATTGTCTCATTTTGCTTGGGAATTGGGATGGGCATGAAGCACAAGCTAGGACTTAATGTGCCAACTGCCAAGTACATTGCCAAGATTAGTGCTGTAGGGGAAGTAATAGCTCCTAAGTTGTGTTGAGATTGGCTAGGGATACTTGTTTTTAGATTGTATTTGCTACTTGTAATTACTTGTTAAAGAACTTGGGCTCTCATACTGGATTACTTGACCAAATCATTATTTATTAGCATCAGTATCAATAAGAATATTAGGTTAAGGAATTGTAACACATTACATCTAACAATCATATTTTCAATTTACTGTGATGATAGCCATTTTTCTCTCTTGTCCCTCTTCCCTAACCCTCAACTTACAATTCCCTAACCTTCATGGCTAAGTAACTTAATTCTGGTACCCACAAGCACAACATCCCACAGAGTGGAAGTGGCAGATTTATGCATATTTCAGCACTTCTTCACAACAAATCAAATGAGTACAAGATTTTCAGTAGCATAAAAGTTATAATAATGCTGCATCTCATGGGCTAGAAATCTCAACAACTTATGCCATGACAAGGAGCACATTGGAAAATGAGTAAAATCAAGTAGTTTGAAAGAACAAAAGGGTAATGAAAGACATACGGTTCAGTAGTGAAAGTGCTGAGGGGAAGGTTACTCAATTCATTCGTTTTTTTCCTTGTCTCAATTTCAGCTTCACACTTTTCAAGCTTTTGTTTCAAATCAGTGACCTCCTACAAGCACCCATATAATAGACAAAAAGCACAGTTATTTGTGCATTCAAGAACAAAACATACGTTGAGTAGATAACTACACAAAAAATAAAATGAGAGCAACAGCAACCCAATGTCGCCCAAGTATTCATTATTTTCAAGCATTACCTGCAACAACCTAAAAATTTCTGGAACCACGCTATTAAATTTTTCAAAGCAGCAAGTTCACATCAATTATTATTTCCTCCAAAATAACTAATTTCATATAAGGGGGAGGCCAACAAACACTGAACATTGACACATGCCTGAGGAAGAATAAATACCTTTTCAACTTGTTTTCTGGAAGATAATTCCTTCTCAAGTTTCTCTTTATAGTCATCTTCAACTTGCTTTAGGCGTGACTGTTTAAAAACAAGTAACATTTAAAAAATGAAAAAAAAATACCCAAGCATTTTAATTTCCAATTTGACCAAATCCAAAAATTAGAAAATAGTGCAATAACAAACTACAAACTTCACCTCCATTGCTTTTATCACACCCTCTAGGTCTGCTGCTTTTTTGGACCATTCCTCAGAACTCTCTTTATATAGCTCATTAAGCTTATTAACCTAAAATTGGGAAAATTCAAATTTAAAACACAAGATAAAATACACAAGAATTAAAAATCATGGCTCATTATTTTGAGAATACATAAGAGTTCATAAATTGTCTAGACAATTCCACTTCCACATCTACAATATATACATTTGTGTCCCCAAACACAAATTTGGATATATTATTCTTTTCACTTCTCTTTTGATCTTCTGCTCAAGACAGCTTTGAAGGAATTACCATGTCAGATAAGCAAAGCAATGGATAACATTATTGCATTCTAAGTTTATCAAGAACATCCTTGAACATAGGGCGCACTTGGAAATAATTTATAACTCCCTTAAAGCTCTTTTCAACTTATTTTTGACAAGCTTTTTCATATAGTTTCTTAAAATAAGTTCTTTCTTTTAGTTTATTCCATCAAGTTTCATAATTAAATTTATACCATAAATCGGCACGTCATAAGAGCTATTTGAATACACACTTAATTAAGTTTTATACCTAAACACACCCATAGGTGCTTTAAAGGGTCTCGTCCTCATCATAGTTGAGCTTCATCTCTGTTTTTTCAAAAATTTTACTGTAGATTATATAATGTTTGGCATACTACAAATACAATGACCCAATAAAAGTAGGCCATATTTTTGTTATATGAGATGGTCTTTCAATTCTGCCACATCTGTAAACAGATGGACAGTGGGTGAAAGCAGGACTGAACTATTTCCTCATTCTAGATAGCCAATCAGGCAAAAGTATGAAGATAAAATTTTAGGTCCCATAAAGTAGACGACAGTAGCATCATGGTGAGACTGAGGTAGCAAGCAGGCAACGAATGTCTAGGTTACATGAACAATAGGTGATGGGCAAGGAAACCAACATTGCCTTCATTGTCCACTTTAGTTTGAGGTTAAAAACCAAAGTAGTTAATGGCAGAACACATCATTAAGCAACCACTCTCAAAAAGACTACAACAGAAATAATGAAAGGCCTTCAATATTTACTAGAATATATGATTGTGTTTGGCTTCAATCCTTTCCCAACCTATGAATGAAATTTGCTAAGGTATATGATCATAGAAAATTATCTTTGAGCCACATGCTATAAATCTATGGTGTTCCACTTCATCATCATTTCCAAGCACTGTAATACCAACTAAAATTGTGAACGAAAGTGTCTTCTGTTTCATTGATAATAAAAATAATAATAATAAATATTTAATTCTATTTGAAATAATATAGAATAATGAATAAATAAAGAAAAAAAAGACCTCATTGGGGATAATGCATTTATAGACCCAATTATTTCATTTAGTGATTATTCATTTGCTTTTCCCCATAACAACTGTCATTGTATTTGTCACTATAACCTAAAATAGAACTATCAACTAAAATGTTGCGCAAGTAGAAAATTTGATAGTAATTAAGCTAAATCCAATAGCTAACCTATATTAGAGCCATATTATAAAAAGATCATTCAAGTTTTTTTTTTAAGAGGGGGGAGAGGGGGGGTTCACTCATGCCAAAGCTGGTCATAGTACTCACAGTGGAGAGTTCAGCAGATAACTGCTCTTCATTGGCTGCAGCAGCATCTTTAGCTGAAATTAATTCCTACAAAAGTAAAAAAATAAAAAATAAAATAAAAAAATCAATCAAGCAGCAATTGAGATAAAAGTAATCCATTCATCACGTTACAAGATAATGAATGGAGCATTTTCAACCTCTTGCACAGATTTAAGCTTCATTTCTAGCTCCCTCACTCTATCCTTATTCCACTGTAGAGATTGAGAACATTCACTGAATTGTCTCTCTACCTAAAAGTGTTGGCAACAAATCAATATCGTTAAAGCAAGGAGATTAAAACAAATTAAAATTCAAAAAAGAAAAGTTAATTTTCAATTACAATATTAAACTCACATCTGCAAGCTTAGAAGACATATCAGCATCCAATTCTGTGTGTTTTCTGCGCAGCTCAAAGAAACTGTTAACTTTTGCAGTCAACTCCTCGTTAAGCCAAGCATTTTGCTTCTGAACTATCTCCTTCTCCTGCTTACGCACATTATATCATTATAGAGAAAGAAAAATGCAAGTTTTCACTCCAGATAAAACATAAGAAAAGTCCAGTCCATAACAAGAGCAATATAGTTATATAGATGATCAGACACATTTTCCATTTAGGAAAACAGCATAGCAGAGTCATTTACCGTTATCATACGCCACTACTATGATCCATTCAGAAAAGAGTTATTAACCAAATAAAACAGTCAGTCAGTGAAGGAAACCAATACCACTAGTAATCCCCTCACACATAAAATCAAAAAGGGAAACCATATGAAAGTTAAAATAAATGCAAACCCCTTAAAAGGACCTGTTCACGGCGAGTGCAAGCAGCCCGGCATCGCACCAATTCTGCCTCAACTTCACTCAAACGAGCCTCCTTATGAGCAGCATTTTCAGTTAAATGAACCTTCAACAATACCATTGAAACACAATAAAACACATCAACAAAATCACAAGACATTCACCAAAAAACCAAGCCATATTAAAGCAAACCAAATTAAGGCAAAGAAACTCACAATCTTATCAAGATAACTCTTGATGGTCGCATTCTTCTCACTAAGCTCCAAATCCTTCTGCTCGTTCAACTCAATCAACTGCCTCTTTGACTTGTGCAGCTCCCCCACCTCCGTTCTCAACCGCTCTATCTCCCTATCCTTCTCAACCTACAAAAGCCAAAAAATCAAAAACAAAAACATTCCAATCACAACAATTACAAGCAAGAAAACGTTTCAAAACGTTCAGAACGGTTCGAACCGATTGCAAGTGGATTTGGTGCTTCTGCGATTGCGCCTCGGAGAGCTCGCGGAGGCGTTGATCGAGGGACGATTGAAGCTCGGAGACGTGCGACTCGAGCTTGGAGAACTCGGCGGCGAGGGAGAGGTACTTCTGCTCGACGAGGGAGCAGTTCTGCTCGGCGTTGATGTCGGCGGCGTCGGCCTTGGCGCGAACGGTGTCAAGCTCGTGGAGGAGGCCGCGGATGTAGGCGTCAGCCTTGGCGGCGACGGCAGCGGCATCGCCGGAGCAGCGCGAAAACTCCTCGTCGGAGATGAAGAGGGGCATCTCGTGTGCCCTAATCGGAGAGTTCGGAACGAAGAGTGGAAATGATAGAGAGATAGTAAAGGGAAAATGGAAAAGAGACGAGAGAGGGAAGTGAGAATTTGAAGAGGAAAAGAAACGAAGCGTAGCGAAGCGATTGTAAAAACGAGAACAAAGTGAAACTCGCTAGTTTTGTGGATTCCCTGGATTTTACGGAATGGGCTTCAGCTTCAGCCCCCGTTGTAACTCACTTAACGATAAACAAAATTTGTGCTTGAACCAAAAGAAAATTGTGTTGTTAAAAAAATAATTAAAAAATTTATCTAAAATTTAATATTATTTATATTTTAAAAATTGTTGGTATTTATTTTTATATATAGCTGTCAGCTGAATTTATGAAAATTTCTGTTATGTGACTTTTAAAAAAAAAAATTCGTACTTGTTTTAACATATTTTATTTAGAGTGTATTTGAGAATTAAATTTTAAAAAAGAAAAAAAAAGTATAAATTTGATATATTTAATTAATATTTTTGAATTTCATAATCTTTTGAAATTAAAAGTAACAAAATAATATATTAGTATAAATTTGATGTGTTAATATTTTATTTATTTTTATAAATATTATATAACTGTTTAAATTTAAAAATAAAATATTTTTCGCCTCTTTTATTCTTCAAAATTCAGGTTTCAAATATATCTTTAAAAAAACTTTTACTTAAATTTACTTTAATTTTATAAAATAATAACCAACTTATAAATATACGCGTAGTTACTTTTAACTGAAGTTCACAAAGTTATAATATGTAATCTCAAATTTTGATTCTTCGATGATGGATACATGTTAGATGTTTGAGACAATGAAGAAAAGACAGTCGCCTCTATTTTATTGTACAAAAATTTTGAGGGAAAGAAAATTTAAATTATATCAACTCTTCATTTCATTAAGTTGCAATCATCAAAATTATTTTATGTTTTAAATTATAGTTTTTTTTTCCTTATCTTTCCTTCATCCATGTTCTTCTTTTCTCCTGCATCTTTTTTTTTCATGCTATCTTTATTTTTTCATCAACTTTTTCTTTTAATCTATCCCTTAAACCATTAAAAAAACCCCAAGTTTCTAAAAAAATTCTAAAACTTCATTATTAAAATTGTTAGAAAATGGGGAATAAAATATCAAAATTTTATATGAAAAGAAATTTTATTTTTTTCTCCCTCTATTTAAAAAGTCTTCAAAAGAATAACTAATGCGCTGAGAGAAAAAAGGTCAAACTAACTTTGTTGATAAAAAAAATTTAAGTTGTTAAATTCTATGGTACCTTTAAAAATTTGTAGGGTACCGCACAAAAAATTTCAACCAATGATATTTAAATACATGTTTAAGTAATAAATTTATTTAATAATAAATTATTAAATTTTTTTATTTTGTTTTATTTATCAATTAGTCCCTCAATAGTTATTATTAATTGGAAAATAAAATTTAAGTTTATGTTTTAATGGTGTTTCATCTCCTTACTTCACTCCATGTTTCACCCTATTTGCCTCGTATCTCTCTCCATCAACGAGGTCGGTCTCAGCTGTGCTTCATCTTCTTTCCTTAGTCTCATTGTTGCTTCTATCTCTTCATGTCACTTTACTTTGCCACCAAGATTAGTCCAAGTTTCTTGTCCCACTGTGTCATTCCCTCACTGCTCTGTATTCCGTCTCTCATCTTCATAAAAAATTCTAAGCTTTTGTTAGCTTCTCTCATTCTCGACTTATGTATTCGTTTTGTCTTGTCTTTTGATTATGATTCATTGTTTCTTCCTTTCTTTTATTTATAGGTGCTTGAGTTTTCATCTACGTTCACTCTCATGCCTAAGGTAGGGTTTACTTTCTTGATTTACTTTAAATCACTATGATGTTGGATCAATAATGTTGTTGATCAGAAAGTTGTCCTAACTTCATTTTTCATTTGTCTTTTCCAAAGGTGATTAAGAAAAGAGTTTTGACAATTTTATCATTATGAAGTTTCCAAGAAATATCAAGGCCACAATTACAATGGCTTAACTGTTGTTTCTTGTTAAGTGTTAGACTGGTAGTGAAACGTATGTTATTATGATATTGTCATTTTTTTTTCTCTTAATTTGTTCTCACTTTATTATTATAATCATGGAGTTGTGTTGTGGTTGTTCTCAATTTGTTCTCACTTTACTAAAGTTTGAGATTCTTCATTCTAAATTGGCATGCTTTAAACCTAGAGTGTTCTTATTCCTTCCTATGTTCAAGAGAAAAGGTTGAACAATTTACTTTTTTTAAGCTTCCCATCCTTTTTTTTTTTTGTTTTACATTGCTTAGTAGCAATAATCAATTCAAAGTAGTTATTTGGGCATTTCAATAACCTCTAGTTGTGTGCAAAGATTGTTATGCTTATTAGTTTTAGGGACTTCAACAGAAGTATGAATGAAGAGCACTTGGAGTCTATTATCTAAAATTTGATATTAAGTATTTGGATTGAATGAAATAATTAGTTTTTTGATATGTTCTTATTTATATACCTAAAACATTGTAGATTTTGTGTGTGTGTGGTAATGGTAAAATTATTTCATGACTTTTTCGCTGTGTTATTTTTATATTTTAGGGTTTTTGTGACATAGTGATTGAGATGCATTGTGAGATTATCTTCTTTAGAAGTTTGAAGAATTTTGCTTTTGTCTCTTTGCCTTAGGAAATCTTATCCTCCTTTGTAAAAGTCTTCTTCACTTTGAAATATCATATCTTCCTTTCACTAGAAGAAACAAAAGCAAGCTTTTGTATCATGTCACAGTGTTATGGGAGTTCTTGTGTCATATTATTTGTTCTTGTGATACACAAAGAAAGGTCGATCATCATTGGCCAAAGCCCAATTTATTGGTTCTTGCCAACCTTGTTTGTTGTATGTTTAAACATTTTATATCTATATTATGTCATCCCATTTCAAATATTTCATTGTAGCAGTATGTGCTCGCATGGTCTATACTCCCAGATCAAATTAGAAGTTATTACCAAGAGTCACATATGGGAGAATTTGAAAAACTTTCGAAGGTAAAATAAGTTATAATAATGGGATAAAATTTAACCTTCAAATTTATTACCTAATCGTTTTCTTTATATTTTTTTTAAAAATTTGTTAAAAATTAGATATATGTATCGATTAATGATGATTACAAGCACTAGTTCTTGCTTGTGGTAGACTTATTGTCTAAAGAGATTATTTATTTGGGCTTTTGCCTTGACTCTTCAAGGATGTATTTAAGGATCGAGAGTGTAAAGATTTTGGTAAATATTTGTCTCAATATTTTTTTTGCTTGTTTGTACTATTTTTTTTTTTAAGGATTGTTCAATTGTTACAGAGACTATTCAAGTTATGCTATATTTGTTTCTCGCAAGCTATTTATATGCAACAACTATTTAGGCACAAGTCATTGCATGACTCTGACATGACACCAAGACAAGCTATATCAAAGTTTAGAGTTGTAATACCACATGGATTAAGTGTGCAAAAAGATGGCTCGTATGTTATAAACAAAACAATTTTGCATATTTTTTTCTTTAAATAATTGTTTGTAATATATTTATTATTTCTAACATTTAGGAATGATTGTGGAATTTGTGTTGCAAGTTGAATGAAAAAAATGGGAAGAGGTGGATACAACATAGAGGTAATATAAGATGTTCTGCTACTTAATTGAGTTTGACACAATCTTCATTGTTTCCTTTATTTTTTACCATGTTTTTCTAATTTAGGTCGACAATGGCAGAAGACTAAGACTTACTTTGGAGCTAGTTTGAAATTAATAGAACAACTTGCATAATAACGTTTTGCAGAATTCATTTGATTTCATTGCGGCGTGTAGGAAAGCTAATGAGTAGAAGACACTCTTATATTTGTCGTTACTCATTTGGCTCATTTGTTCAACTTTAACTTAAGGTAAACAATTACCAATTATGGTGTTAGTTGTAACGCCTCGAATTTTGTAATATTGTTGACTATTAATATATAAATATATATGTGAATGGATGTTTGAATGTGCATTTGAATGTGTGATGAGTTGGGTGTGAATATAATGATGTGGATATATACGTTTGACTATGTGATTGATTTTGTTGATTGGAGAATAGGCTAAGTGAGTACTGTAGGGATGTTCTTGCTGTAGCGAAAGAGCAACATATTCACGCATAGCGAGAGGTCCCTCGCTGCATCGAGAGAGCGACAGAGGGGGTGCATTTCTAGATGCAGTCTCGTTGTAGCGAAATTCTGCAGAAACCAGAGTGCAGAATCATCTAAGATTTTTGCTACAACGAGAAGGGTTCTCGTTGTAGCGAGAGTATCGTGATTCAAAAGGTATTTGAGGGGTTTAGAGTTCAGGAGCGTCATTTCCCACCTTTTCACTCATCTCTCTTTCGATTCTCTTTGTCATCAACTTATTCTTATCGATTAAACTGCCTCCAAAGTCGTTTAGGAGCTAGATTGAAGGTTGAAATCATGTTTGGAGCGTTTGGAGGTAAGTTTGTGAGTTAAAGTTTTTGGTTTTCATCCCTCTTCCTTATTCTTTGATTTTTCATGGAGTTTTCCATGTGTTTAGGACGAAATCTATTTTGGGAGCACATATATTATTGATTTTGTATTTTGGTCTTCATTCCGAGGTAAAGGAAACTCTACCCTATCCTTTGAGTTTAAATTTTGTGTATGTTGTTAGATAATGGAATGTGGTTGAGATAAAAGGTAGAAAAATGTGTGTTTGATAGAAATTTCATATGAAATATGATATGGTAGTTGTTAGGTGTTGTGTGTGATAGAATTGTTTGATAATGATTGAATTGTAATGAAACTTGTGTGAAATGCGGTGTGATTGAATATTGTGTGGTGAAATATGAGTGTATGTGCCTTCGATTGGGAATGAATCATATGAGATGAATGAAATGTGTGTGTGGAAGGCATGATGGATTGTGAATGTGAATGTAGTTGGAATGATTAAAAATTATGAATGGTTCAACGATTCACTGGGAGTGTGGAAGATGAGGGCGGTAGAAATACCTTGGAGAAGAGACGGTAGTGGTGACACTAACAGTGAGCGTGAGTGCACTATAGGTCACACACTTTCCTCTTGACTTAGCCTCTGACTAACACCTTTGCTTATGGACTCAGTATCGCACACATTGTATTTGTGGAACGGGTGCTATCAAGTTACCATCTATGGTGTGAAAT